TAACCAACCAATTAATATGTTACGTCCGAAAGATCATTCACAAAACATTTACTCAACGACAAACGTTAGCAACATCTGAACCAATTCACTTGAAATTTAGAAAAGAACTTCTTTGCTGGTAGTTATTGAACCAAATCCACCCTGAGCACCCTGAATTTAAGACTTTCGGAATTGGAAAGGACAATAATAGTATTTGAAGCAAATCTACTGAAATTTAAAAAAAGAGCTTTGTTGGTAGATTTTGTTCAATAAAGAAGTTCTTTCTAAATCCCAGTTCAGATGCTGCTAGTGTTTGTTGTTGGAACAAATGTTTAGTGAATTATTTTTTCAGACGTAATATATTAATTGGTTGGTTACAACAGTTATGCGCGGGTTAGAGGCACATGACAGGTTGGCAAAAGTAATTGAAGTCATTTTAATTTTCAAGGATTTGGTTCAAAAACTACCAGCAAAGCTCTTTTTTTAAATTTCAGTGGATTTGTTCTTTCTAATTTCGAAAGTCTTAAATTCAGGGTGCTCAGGGAGGATTTCATTAAATAAAGAAGTTCTTTCTAAATCCCAAGTGAATTGGTTTAGATGTTGCTAACGTTTGTCGTTGAGTAAATGTTTTGTGAATGATCTTTCGGACATAACATATTAATTGGTTGGTTACGATGGTTATGCGCGAGTTAGGGGCACATGACAGGTTGGCAAAGGTAATTGAAGTCATTTTAATTTTCAAGGATTTGGTTTAAAAACTACCAGCAAAGCTTTTTTTTTAAATTTCAGTGGATTTGTCCTTTCTAATTTTGAAAGTCTTAAATTCAAAGTGTTCAAGGTAAATTTCGTTCAATAAAGAAGTTCTTTCTAAATCCCGGTTCAGATGCTGCTAGTGTTTGTCGTTGGAACAAATGTTTAGTGAATTATTTTTTCGGACGTAACATATTAATTGGTTGGTTACGACGGTTATGCGCGGGTTAGAGGCGCATAACAGGTTGGCAAAGATAATTGAAGTTATTTTAATTTTCGAGGATTTGGTTCAAAAACTACCAGCAAAGCTCTTTTTTTAAATTTCAGTGAATTTGTCCTTTCTAATTTCGAAAGTCTTAAATTCAGGGTGCTCAGGGTGGATTTCGTTCAATAAAGAAGTTCTTTCTAAATCCCAAGTG